TGGCTCCCCAGAGGCCTCTCAGCACAATCATGGGAGCCCATTCTCAACTTGTGTTTGGGCTTTTTGGGGCCTGTTCTTAAACCAATCAACATGGCTTGTAAGGGGAGCCCAGGTTTTAGAAATGGTTCCTTTATTCCAAAGTCAAGGTTTTTAAAATTTTATCCCATTGGCTGGGCTGAACAAAAAAAAAAAGGTGGGGGCAGAAATAAAGGGTGACAAATGAATAACAAGCCTTACTTCCACCTACTCAGAATATAGCTCAGTTGGCTATTCCAGCAAGCCTGATGGCATAATTAGATGTTGATATCTATGTTTGTCTGTTTGTCTTAGTCATCTTATAATTTTATTTTATTGTAAAAATAATATAATGTTTTATTTCTTAGAGGCAAGTTTTAGGTTTACAGAAAAACTGCAGTGGAAGGCTTTCCGCATAGCCCCCTCGGCAACCCAAGTCATTGTTTGCCCCCCTGTTACAGCACTGAACATGGAATGAATGTATTTGTTACCAGCTGATGAGAGCATTGACACATTCTTTTGTATCATGATTATTTTAAAATTAATTAAACTTTTTGCGCTTAAAAAAATTTTTTATAGAGACGGAAGGGTCTCACTATAATTGCGTCAGACGGTCTTGAAGCTCTTGGCCTCAAGGCCATCCTCTCGCGCCTCAGCCTCCCGAAATGCCTAGGAACTGCACAGGATGAATTATTGTGTGCAGCCTTATTATTGATTCTTTTAGTTGAAAACAATTGTACATTATATTATTTGTGTACAGTGTGATATTTCAATTCATGTATACGCATGTGTCGTGATGCAACATCAGGGTAGTTAAGCTGTCCATCACGCCTAAAACATTCATCATTTGCCTTGTGTTGGGAAACATTAAATGTGGCTCTTCTAAGCTGGACCAGCATTATTTTAGACTAAAGTCCATCATTTACATTAGCTTAGTCTTGGTGTTGCAGCATTCTAGGCACATTCTACAGGGTTTTTCTTTTCTTTTTTTTTTTTTTGAGACGGAGTCTTGCTCTGTCGCCCGGGCTGGAGTGCAGTAGCACCAACTCAGCTCACTGCAGGCTCTGCCTCCCGGGTTCACGCCATTCTCCTGCCTCAGCCTTCCAAGCAGCTGGGACTACAGGCACCCACCACCTCGCCCGGCTAATTTTTTTGTATTTTTAGTAGAGACGGGGTTTCACCGTGTTAGCCAGGATGGTGTCGATCTCCTGACCTCATAATCTGCCCCTCTCGGTCTCCCAAAGTGCTGAGATTACAGGCGTGAGCCACCGCGCCCGGCCCATTCTACGGGTTTTAATAATGTTATGCATCCACCATTACAGTGGCATGCAGAATAGTTTCACTGCCCTCAAACCTCTGTGCTCTGCCTACTCATCCCTGTCTCCCCTAAACCATGGCACCCACTGCTCTTCCTATCTCCAAGTTTCGCCTTTTCCAGAATGTCATAGTGAGAATCATACAGTATATAGTCTTTTCAAGCTTCTTTCACTCAGTCATATGCACTTCAGTTTTCTCCCTGTCTTTTTGTGGCTTGACAGTGTGTTCCTCTTTACTGCTGAATAATATTCCACTGTCTAGATATACTACAGTTTATTTATGCATTCACCTACTGAAGGACATCTTCGTTGCTTCCAAGCTTTGGCTTCAAATTTATTTATTTATTTTTATTTAAAATATTTTAATTTCTAAAAAAGTTTAAATCATATTAAAATTTAAACAATTTCATTGTACAGTACTTGACAATACATTTCAACCAACTGAAATGCAAAACAAATCAGTAAATCAGGTTTTGTTTACTTTCTAAGCTTAATAATAAACAGACTCTTGCTCCTCAAGAAGATGCAAAAATCAGCAACAGTGAAAGTGAAATATTTAAATAGGAATCTGAAACAAAACGAATTCAATCTGATCAAATCCACAATTAATTGAAGTTTTCATTTTATTCGATTGTGAATAAAATAGCAGCCACTATTTCATCCAATATGCCAATGATATCAACTAAATGATCTGCCTGGCATGTGCAAAACAAGAACAGTTATCTTCTGCTGAAAGGATGTGAGCTTTCAAATTTGGTTTTCATGTCATAGTTTCCAAATAAACTGCTCCACCAAAAACAACAGTGTAGGTGCTACATATCTTCCAGGGTTTCATCATATAGCCATTTATAAGCACAATCTTTGGAACACTCTATAGTTTCAAAAAGTTTTTTGAAGTTTTGAGGGTACACGTTAGTTATTTTCTCTTCTTCCTTTTTTCCTATTTGCGGCAATATATCCATTGCATCAAGTGGAGTCAGTGAACGTAAGTGGTCTATTACATTGGCACTGCGCCTCACAAAACAGTGCTTTAACATGTGAAAAAATATATTATAGTGAATAAGTGTTAAGTTCTTGGTAAATAAATTTCCACAAGGAGTCATTCGAATAAGATACAGATTGTGTTGTAATAGTTCTAATAATTCCCTATGCTTTGGGTTTTCCAGCCGCCCATTTCGGGTGTACACATCAAATGATGACCAAGGCTCCATGAGCAGAACCTTAATCTCACAAGCTGCGTGCCAGATAACACTTCATACATGATACAAGTCTGGATTTCGGGTATCTGCTGTTAGTTTCTGGAATTCTTTTTCACCAATAAAGATATTTCATTCTATTCATCCAAATTTATATATAGAAGTACAGGAATACAAGTCATATGCAGGTTTCCAAAATGCCCTTTCTTCACCTCTACTTGGGAACATTCCAGTTACTTTTCAAGGGATGCCTGCTGTCCAAGGAACTGCTTCTATTCCCAAATTCTGAAACAGCCCTTGAGAAGCCATAGCAGGTGGTTTTATTACTCCACCACTTCTAGGATCTATTTTAAAGAAGTCACAGTGACTCACTTGTAGTTTTCCATCCAGATTTTTTCCTAAGGACTCCAAATGTGCAATAAAAGTTTTGTCACTTTCAAGGGCAACCGCTTTGGCATCAACTTCAAGTAATGCCTGAGTCAGGATTCCAGGACCCGGATTGCACTGCAGCAATAGGTGTAGAGGTCTGTTTTGTTTTCTCCATACGATTGGCGACATTTGTCGCTGCCCACAGCGGGCAGCGCCAGGGTCTCAGCCAATCTCCGATTGGTTACGTAACGCTTAAAGTCTAAGCTGGACTTAGACATCTTCCTTGGCGTGTTCCTGAAATCCGGATTGGGCCACAGCTGCGGAGAGGAGTCAGACAGGCCACGGCGGTTCCTCGCCGGCAAGTGCTTTCCAGTCGCAGCTCCAGACCCTCAAATGCAAAAGTGACCAGCGCCCGCCAAGGCGGAGAGCCTCAGCCAAGGAGGAAGCCCGGCCACTGGGATCCACATGTCCTTGTCTCTCAGGCCCTCTCCAAGGATTACCCAGGGTTGCTACTATAGTGAATCCCTAAATTTATTTTTAATTATATAATTGAAACATACATATATGCACTTGGAGGAAAAATTAAAGCGATACAGACAAAAGTATTATTTCTTTGCTACTATTCCACCTCTTCCAAGTTCACCACATTCCCCACGTGCATCTTTCTAGATCCTTCCTAAGCATTTATAGATATTTATGTACACAAAGTATGTTAATTATCTATGGCTGTGTAACAGATTACCTCAAACTTAGTATGTCTTTAGCAACAGTAAATATTTACAATTGTACAGCTTCTGAGGGTTAGGGAATTGGGGAATGTTTTATTAGGGTGGTTCTGGCTCAGTTTCTCATGAGGTTGCAATGAACCTGTCAGCCAGGGCTACAGCCATCAGAGTCTTAAATCTGCTTCCAAGGAGGTTAACTCACATGGCTGGCAAATTGATGCTGGTTGCTCTGAAGGGCTGCTTGAGTGTTCTCACAACATGGCGGCCAGCTTCCTCAAAGCAGGGGAGGGTTGGGGGAGTGCTCAGCTCTTTTGTGACTCAGCCTTGGACGTTACACATTACCACTTGTGCAGCCTCCTGTTGGTGACATGGGCTATGGGAGAGGTGTGAACACCAGGAGGCAAGGCTTGGCGACTGTTTTATAAAGACTGACTACCATGTAGAGAAACTAATGGATTTCTTTGTAGTTTTTGTGGAAAGCTTTACATTTGGGAAAAGGAAAAGTTACAAATCTTAATCGTTTTTAAGCTTTACTGATACACACAAAGCAAGCAGTATTAAAACACATCCCATGCCAGTTTGTAGCAAACAATCTATGTTGAGGAATTTTAGCCATCATAGTAGTGAAAAAATGATTACATATATAGTGTGATGATTTAAACTTTGTGAGAACTGATCTGTTAAGGTTTGGATATGGGATGATTGCAGGAATAAATTAACTTTCACATACTTAAAATCTCCTCACAAGAACACCCTACATTTATCACAGTGCTGAAGGTGCTATGGAAAGCACACGCTTACGGAAAACAGGCTCTAAGTTTTATTTTTCCTTTATAAAGGCAACCCTCTTGCCCCTACTCTGATTTATTTTAGGTTTGGGCTCATTCATTTTGACCCAGGTGGTTGGGTTTCTCCTTATTTACAAACAGGTGTTTGCCTTACAATTCTGTTGTCTATTCCCCGTCACGCTGCATGAGGTCAAAGTAGAGGTCTGTTTGGAAATGCGACGTCAAACGTCGTCCGCTGGGGAGCAGAGCAAAGGTAAACACGGTGAAAGGTCCTGCAGCAGCAGCCAGCCAGACACAGTCAGGACTTGCCTGGATCACAAACGCCTCCTGCCAGCGTGCCAGCCCCTCACCCCACACAGAACCACGGGCCGCTGTTTACTGTCCTGACCTCACAGTGCCATGACTACTGATCACGGGTGAGCGCAAACACAAGAGTACAACAGTGTGATGGTCCAGAGGAAAACTCACATCAAAACACCTGTCGGTATCTTCTGACGTCCTAGGTTCAAATGTCCCATGACCTTGGAGCTTGGCTCTTCCATGCCCCAGCCCTTCCAAACGGCACACTCAGGGCCCACTGCATGCTGTCTC